GCCTGGACCCAGCAGGGACAAGAAGTAGGGACCAGAGAGGAAAGCGGGACGTCCCTGGTGGGATGAAGTCTGACTCTGTGGCTGGCATCCTGGGCCACCACCACCAAGTGATGCAGGTGCCAGGGCCGGGAGCAAGACAGCAACGCCCCTGCCGCAGTTCACGGTCTGATGGGAAGACAGGACACTGAACAGCTCATCCAGCCCAGCCTCCATCCACCAATCCACGTCCCCGCCCGCATTCGACAGTCACTGGGCACCTGCTCACTAAGCATCGGCGGTGGAGGGCAAGACGAACAGTGCCCCGGAGCCTTCCAAGCGAGCACGGGGCAAGTGACACAGCCGGGAAGACAAATGGGTCAACTCCATCGGATGGCAAGGGCTCGGGAGGCCGTGGGAAAGGCATTCTACTCCGACGGAGATACCCCGACGGACGGCAGACAGGTGTTCAACTAAAAACTTCCACGTGCATGCTCGCAGCAACACCGAACACACTTGCCCGAAGGTGGAACCCAGCCACGTGGCCGTCAACGGCGCGAGAATGGACGAATGAAAAGCAGTCTGTCCACACGGGGGAAGCTTGGACACACGCTACCACATGGAGGAACCTCCACGCAAATGTGATGCTCAGGGAAAGAGACCAGACACAAAGGGCTACACACCGTACGACGTATACGAACATCCAGAAAAGAGCAGTCCATAGAGCCAGGAAGCAGAGCGGTGGTGGCCAGGGGCTGGGGAAGGGCGAATGGGGAGGGAGGGCCCTGGGGAACGGGCGTTTATTTGCGGGGGGATCAAGGTATTTTGGAACTAGCACAGGTGGTGGTGGCACAAGACCATGAACGTACTAAGTGCCACTGAATCGCACGCTTTCTTTTATGTTATGTGAATTTCACCTCAATTAAAGAAAACCAGCTGTGCCTGGGGGCGGGGGAGGCCCCTGAGCAGGTATCTGATCAGAGTCCTGAGCGCTGAGAAGGAACCAGCCGTGCCGTGTGTGGAAAGATGCCCTTGTGGTCTAGTTTTGGACACCCTGCCTCCCTTGGCAGATTCTGGCAATCGGCGGTCTCTGAGGGCTGGTGGGACAAGGCCTCGAGGGCACTAACGGGGGAGGGCCGCCCCTCGAAGGCAGACTCTAGATCTGGTCACGCCTGCCCATGGTGTCTGCCCATCACACACTGTTTGCTGATGACCGCCCCCTGCCCCGGCCAGGCGGGCACCCACGCCTCTGCCCTCGCAGAGCTGAGCTGAGCTGAGCTGAGGTGAACCTGCCGCAGGGGCGAGGGCCAGGAACATAAAACCGGCCAATAAATAGGATTTGTGATTTATCTCCGAGCCCAGTGGAAAAAAGAGAAATATACCAAAGTGGCTAGTCACCTAAGAGCCCTGATTTATATTCTACTTTACTATCTCTTCCAAGGAAATGGAGGGTGTATTTTCATTAAATATAATCATTTACAGCTGGTAAGGGGGAGACACACAGCTCTGTGACCATCACCTGGCCGGCAGATAAAATGGGAAGGGTGGCAAGACAGAGTCAGCCCCTCTGGCAGTCACCCAGAACTGTTTTCCCCATTGTGAAGGATCCCCTCTGGGCAGGAGTGAGCATCCCACCCAGGTTTTGCAACCATGTGGCCCACGGCAAGGGACACAGAGCAAGACCATTTCCAAAAGGTGGGGGGTGGGGAGACAGCGTTGCACTCGTGAGCCCAAAGGCGGCCGTGGCGCCACGGCATCAGAGGCCAACCCAAGCCATGCTTCGGAAGCCCCCCTCCGGCCCCACCCCTTGGCTTCTGAAAACTTTCAAGGTGAGGGCGACGAACCCCGGCTGATGCGCAATAGCTCCAAGTCTATCGCGTGGGTGCATGTGCCCTGCCCGGGGGGAACATCTCGTTCGCTTTGGTGACAGAAATTAAGCGGGAGAATGCTTCCGATCTTCCAGGGTCTCAGTTCCCTTGTGTCCCTTGCTTAGTCCAAGTGCCACAGACCGAACCACCCAAAGTCTATATAAACTATAGCTCTTCGGGATCCTCGATATTTTTTTTAAGGGTATAAAGGGGACCCGAGGCCCAAACTCTGCAAAGTGCTGACTTCAAGGAGCAGCAGGGGCCGGTGTGGCCGGGGGTGGGGGGGTGGGGGGGTGATGGGATGAAGGAAGCTGGGTGGCTGCGTCTGAGAGGCCAGCTGGGGCCCGTTTCACAACCACCACGCAGGACCAGAGTGAGAGATCTGGGTTTTGTTCCAAGTACAACCGGAAGCTACCGGAGGGTTGCAGGGAGGGGCATGATGTGATGTGACTTATGTTCTAGAAAGATCCCTCTGGCCGAAGGGGACTGGTGAGGGTGGAAGCCTGAGAAGCTGAGGATACTGCTCCACGATCTAGGGAGAAGGCAGCTGGCTGGCACAGGGAGGTGTCTTCTGGAAGCAGAGCAGGCCAGCAAGGGTGGGACGGTGAAGAGGAGGACCAAGGATGATTCCAGATGCTGCGAGGCTGTGGGGCAGGCTGAGACAGCCAGTGGTGAGGAGGGGAAGGGTGGGGAGAGCTCCCCTCCCTCTCTCTGAGTCACACTGAGGCTTGGGGATCTCACTTGCTGGTCAGGCCATGAGGGCAGGGAAGGCCGAGAGGCCTCTCTACCCAAGGGCCCAAAGCAGTTGCCCCCAGGGCCACATCTGTGAGAGTGTCCCCACTCCCCACACCACACCCGAGTGGCACCTCCAGAGGCTGTCAGGGGACAGATACAGGGAAGGGGCGGAGGGCAAGCTTCAGCAGCTACCTTTGACCCTCCACAGTCCCAACTGGCTCTACCTTAAATACCAGACCCTGGGGCCAGTAGCAGGGCGGTGGGCACCACCCCCCCCTCCCTGGACAGGCCCAGGCCACAGGAGACAGGCCCATACCCCCAGCATTGGATGACCTCACTTCTCCCTGGGAGCCCAGGCGGGGTAGGAGCACTTGGTAATAAGTCATTGTAAAGCTTTCTGCAAACAAGAGAGATGATTATGCAGATGCTGAAGAATGTGACACTTGGCTCTATTTATTTATTTACACTTGCCTTGTCCAAAAAGGACTGAACGGAAGTAAGGCCCAGGTTTTTCTTTTTAACCTGTTCGTTCCCAAGACAAAACCCGAATGATGCTAAAGAAATTATTTCTTCGTATGATGTTATATGTCAATTAGATCTCAATTTAAAAAATCACAAGGCGGTGCTTATAGAAATGGTATAATAAATTACAACTCTGTGGAAAGAAAGAAAGAAAGAAAGAAAGAAAGAAAGAAAGAAAGAAAGAAAGAAAGAAAGAAAGAGAAAGAGAGAGAGAAAGAGAAAAAGAAAGAAAGAAAGAAAGAAAGAAAGAAAGAAAGAAAGAAAGAAAGAGAAAGAAGAAGAAATGATTTCCTACCAAGGCAATCTACATTTAACCTAGACTCATGGCCATCATTTATGTTTACTTAGCAACCATCTCTACAGAACATGACACAGCCTGAACAAGCTTTGACAAAGAACCCTCCAGACCCTGGAAAAGGCAACAGCATCACGTCGCATTTCGTAGCTGAAAACAAAAGCAGTGTCACCATCAGTCTTAGAGACCAAGATGGGTCTTAAGGAAGAAAACGGTCCAGGCAGTGGGTGGCAGCGTGAGCCGATGCACTGTCCCAGAGCACATGTTGGGACTACCTGTGTCAAGACGAAAAGCCTCCCCTTGGACCCGGCTAAGAATGTGTCCCACAGACAGTCGAGATTTGCACACTTCTACTGAGACCCCCCCCCAAGGATGTCCAATGACACTGGAGGAGCAAAACGATGGAAGTGACCCAAACGTCTGCCAATACAAAACGTTATGAGAGATGTTTCTGGTCCAGCCATGTGCTAAAATACCACATAAGAGTTCATCGTTACTTAGCATGAAGTGATGTGCGTTGACGTGGAACACCAAAGTATCCGTGAAAAAAGGCAAGGGGCAGAATCACATAGGTGGTATGACTCCGCGTGTAGAAATAGACAAGAAAAACACGTATGGCGTACAAACGAACATTTCTGGAAGCACAGGCAAGAAACTGTTCACAGTGATTACTTCTGGGGGCAAAGCGGACTTATTTCTCATTTTATCACGTCCTGTTTATATCTTAAAATACCACATGCTTACAATGTACATATTTCTAAAATGAATTAATGCAATCAAAGAACGAATATAGAATAAATCATGGAGCGGAAGGAAAACAAGGGCCCTGACTTGGGACAGGTCCTGATCGCCGCGTTTTAAATCAACAACTGATCTTCCATCAAGAGCCGCTTTTGAAAACATTCTGCCATATTTCAGTGCGAGTTTGAAACCCTAACACGCTTGCAGGGGGCCCCCTGGCCAACTTTGGGAAGTTCTGCAATCAAGAGCGAGGCTCTCTTTCGAAGGACGGGGTGCACGTGGACTTATCTTAGACACACTGGAACAGGAAGGGGAGAGGCTGCCAGCCCTTGGGAGGAGCAAGCGGCACTCGAACTTTCTTTTCATGTTTCTCTTTTCTGGGGAGATGAGCTCTGGAGGAAGTGGGAGGGGTGCTCCCAGCCCCCACAGGGAAGGCCGTGGCACAGCCCTCTCTGTGCTCGCCTTTCTTCAGGGGTTGGAACAGGAACCATGCACACGGCCTCACTCGTCATCCCGCCTGGAGAAGGAGAGGACTCCCCCACGGCCTCATTACTAACAATCTGAGCATTTCCAAGAAACTCCCAAGAAAGCTCTTAGTCTTAATTCTGAGAAGTTCTTCCACATCCCCAGAAAATCTCTGGAAAACCAAACCCAGGCGGCAGAACACCAAACAGAAAGCCAAGATTTATTTCTAGGGCTTGTGTTGCATCTTGAGCTATGCTTTGACGAATTCTAAGAAACGGGTACTTCCAGCCGCCCGGATTCCGACACGGGAAGGGAAGCTTGCTCACACAGACTCAACAGACAAGGTCCCAGAACCCTGGGGCGGGGGTGCAAGGCGGCGCAGGGTCGGGGCGGCTTACCTGGCACCTTGTCCACGGACGCGAACACGGAGCGCTGCACGGTGGGGTCGCTGCTGCCCCGGCGGCACTGGTCGTAGAAGCGGAAAGGCAGGTGCTGGGAGGAAGAGGAGCCGAGTCTAAACCCCAGGACGTCGGTCGTCGGCTGGATCGGGAGGTCCAGGAGGGCTATGTTCAAACAACACCGTGGTTCATGCTCGTCACATGGGCCGGGGGTGTAGATGCTGGGGCCGCAGCCGGAGCGGCCGCGGCCCCTGCCGGGCACATCGCGTGGACGGCGTCAAGCAGGCAGCCGGCGGCCTCGAGCTGGGGAGACCGGCGCGACACCGAGGTCCCGCCTGAGCTCAGGACACAGCCGGTGCCTCGCGAGGGATTCAGAAATGGACGCTGGCCAGTCTCCACCTTGGACCCTTGGCTTCCACAGGCAAAAAGACCCTTAGCGAGGCTTCGTTGCGGGTACGACTTTAGACCCCAAAGCAAACGGGGCCAATTCTGCCCTGAAAGTTCAGACATGTACACGTGCACGGGGAGGCGCGTGTGAGGGAGAACATATCCGCGCGTTCACCTGTGTATTTATGAGTTTGTGCTTATCTGTCACGGTTGCTATCTTTCCTCCCAGAAACAAATCTCATGATAGAGCAATTTGGAGGGGCTTTTTAACATCAATTGAAGGCATACCCGAGGCGTTCATTCTAACAGCCACTTTACGGCATAATTCTCAATTTTCAGATGAAATATTTAGCCTTCGTGCCAGCGCTGAGAAATTGCTTTACATTAAAAAAAAAAAAAAAAAAAAAAAAAAAAAAAAAAAAACAAAAACAACAACCACCCTCTAAAAATAAATCTTAAGAGGAAGGACGGAATGATTTAAGTCACTTTGCACATTACAAAATGCTTCTGTAATGATTTCATAGGCCAAGTTTCAGCTAAGCAAGAAAACAAGGGACGCATGGGACACAGGCCTGTGCAAATCAACGGGGCACGCACGGTAAGTAACGCAATCCAGAGCGTCCAGAAACCCGGCCCACCAAGGGTTTATTTTTAGGTAATCCCTTTAGAAAGCACCCCTCCTCCTCCCTCACTGGGCTGGAACTGCTCCCAGCAGCTACACCAGGATGACCACTGGTGCTCGAACTGCAAGGCGTTGGTGTCTGGAGAACGGCTATTTATAATTTGGGGGGTTGATAGAATGCCTGCTCCCCCGGGGGAACGCTGTGCCATCGGCCCTGGTGATCGGAACACCCTCGGTACAGAGCCTTTATTTCTAAGAAAGCTCGGGCCTTCCTGCCCAGGGTGGCGCAAGGCCTCCTCACACGTTCACCACAGTCCCTGTGAAACAGACAGCGACTTCCAAATTTAGTGCTGGGTCATCGTGGCCCCCTCACCACGCAGGGCTGCCTCTCAGGAGAGGTGGAGGGAGGGGGCAAGGGATGGGCTTTCAGGAGGAAGTTCCGCGCTGGGCTTCTGTCAACCAGCTGCGCGTGTGACTTTGGGCAAGTCACAGAGCCTCAGTTTACTCTTCTGTAAAATGCACAGGACAGACCCTCCTGATCTTATTAAGGGTTAAGGATCCAGAGTAGTAGAGGAATGTCCAAGCCTTTTGTACACGTAAGCTAGAAGATTCCCGTGTGTGGGAAGTGAACAGCTGTCCCAAACCAACACCTGTCTGTTCAGGGCCTCTTGCTCGGTCAGGGAGGGTTCTCCTCCCCTCCACGTGGGCCTAGAAACTCTCTAGAAATCACACACCTGGGGAAGGGGAGAGTCTGAGCAGATCCTCCGTTCTGTCACCACAACACGAGTAACTCCTCTAAGCCACACGTGTCCTCCCCTAGCGGTCAGCGTGTGAGCCCGAGGGCCCTGGGGACATCCGCCAGGGCCGGCCACTCACCGGCTATTCTCTGCATCTTCATGCGCCTCGCCTGGATGCGGCCCTTGGCCAGGCGCTGCTTGGCGATGATGCAGCGGATGTGGTCCGAGAAGACGAAGGTGGCCTGGAGGATGGGGAAGGGCTTGGAGTGGGGGCTGGACGCAGGCTTGTGGATGGTGATGTTCAGGGCGCGGCTGTCGTCCTCCACGCCGGTCACCTGCATGTCCTGTGGGGGAAGTGGCAAAAGCAAGGGTGTTCGTTACATTCGGGAGGAGGGTGGCGGCTCAGAAGCCGTGGGATCCGTGTCTCATCAAGAAAGCGGTTCCCTGGCACTGACTTGGTCAGAAGAGCACACGACTCTTGGTCTTGGGGTCATGAGTTCAAGCCCTATGGTGGGTGTAGAGATTACTTAAATAAATAAATGGAGAGGTTTTTCTTTTTAATGTTTATTTTTGAGAGAGAGAGAGAGAGACAGAGACAGAGACAGAGACAGAGAGAGCACGACTGGGGGAGGAAGGGAGGGAGAGAGAGACACAGACACGCGCGCACACACACACACAGAATCCAAAGCAGGCTCCAGGCTCCGAGCTGTCAGCAGACAGCCCAAAGCGGGGCTCGAACTCACAAGCTGTGAGATCATGACCTGAGCCGAAGTTGGATGCTTAACCGACTGAGCCACTCAGGCGCCCCAATAAATAGAGTTTTTAAAAAAGAAAGAAAGAAAGAATAAAAAAGAAAAGAATAGAAAAGGAGTTTCCCCAAATTCCCCCAACTCTGCTTTTGCCTGAAAAGAGCAGCCTCCCAAACCAGACCAGGCTTCGAGAACAGGACATGGTAGGCAACAAAGGTGCTCACGGGGAGCCCGCGCTGGCTGGGACCCTGCCCCCGAGGACGTGGGCTTGCTAGGGAATAAATGGGTGCACTGGCCTCTCCAAGGGACCTCAAATAGCCGGACTGTGGCAGTCCTTCCTCACTTCTGAGAATACTGGAGACAACAACCCAAAATGCCTGTCGCCATTGGCCATGGTCTGAGATAGGCGCACTTATCTACTGACCAACTTCTTCCTGGCTTCTTTTCAGAAGGGGGGGATCCCTGACACCCACACGCACGTCTCTGGAGAATTTCTGGTCCCTAACAGAGAATGCTAATCCAAGAAGGGACAGGGAGGGCCACTCAGCAGGCAGTGAAGGAAGCTGCATTTGAAGGGTGTAGAAGAAACTCGCCCATAGCAAGCGTGATAAGGATGAATCCCATCTAAAACCTCAGAAAGGATTTTCTGTATAAAGAATCTGCATCGCACAAGAGTTTGAGGTGATGCAAGATAAAGGCACGAGGCGAGACAGACGTGGAAGTCAGACGTGCTGGAGGAGGTGGGGTACATGAGCTAAAAAGGCTCACGAAGTACGACGGTCGCTGTTTGTGGGCATTAAATCGGGCACAGGGTCCTTGGAAATAGTACCTGCCTCAAAATGTGGCAGCAGATTAGATGGGCTGTTCCACATTTAAGGCGGAGAACCTGGCACACAGGAGTGGCCTGACAAGTAAGTAGCAGCTACTAGAAGGCGACCAAAAGGAAAGGTTGATGTGGCTTTCATCGTCTGACGGAGGACACGTATTAATCCTTCGAGGGAGAAAAACACTTTCCTGACACTCAATTCTAAAGGAAATTGATCATAAGTTTAGATACATAAGACGTACTAAGTCACCTAACGGACAACCTCTTACAGGGTAGTCTTTTTTTTTTAATGGAAGATTCTTCGTCGAGTTTCTCGCATCCCTCTCTGTAAAAGACATTTTTTAAAGGGAGAGATCTTCAAAAAGAGGAGGTTGGGGAAAAGGTTGCAACAGCATCCTCGAACACGTGGGCGACTCCCTCAGAGAGTGGGATGCTGACAGTGGGTCACACTGTGCAGAGGGGGGACGCAGGTCAGCCCGGGCAAGACCTTGCCGGTGACCATGCACTGCCCAGCAAGGGAACGGCCTGCCTCAGAGCAGGGCACGTCTCGGGTTCTGCTGCATATCTGGGGACGGAGCGGGGGGTGGGGGTGGGGGGTGGTGTGTGTGACAGGGGGTGGGGACTGGAAGGCTGTTTTCAACACTGCTGGTTCTTCATTTCATTCAGTTATGGAGCTGACATTAGTCACCTGCCAATAAGAAAACCCACAAACCATACGAAAACCCACGTCCCAACTTGCGTTTGGCAACTTAGAGCCCATGCCTCCTAGAAAAGGGGTGAGGACGAGGTCACGCTCCTAAACTGTCAGTGGCAGCAATCGCTTTAGAGAGGAATCTGGCAGCGTCTATGAACGCTGAAAATAGGCACGCCCCAGCTTCTTGGAGTCCGCCTAGGGAAGCCCTCGCTCAAGTGCACGTGGAAGTAAGGACGGTTCTCTTCGAGGCAACATTGTCTGTAAAGGTAACGATCTGGCGACAGCCACGGGGGACTGGCTAACTGTGCCTCAGCTCAGTCACACAGCAGTGAAAAGAACATCAGAGAGTCTGCACATAATACGCGGTCAGCTCTAAGACGTGTATCGACTGGGGGGTGGGGGGAGTTTAGAATACGCTCAGCGTGACACTATTAAACACACACACACACACACACACACACACACACACTCTCAAGTACGTGCACACCATGTTTATAAACAGCACGTGCGGTTATATTTATATGTGCGTTTATTTATATGTGCAGCAGCTCTGGAAGGCCCATACTGATAATGCAGGAGAAAGTTTAAGAACTGAGGGTTTGGGTCAAAGCACACTTGACCCTTATCTGTGCAGTATTTTCACTTTTTTTTTCAAATAACAATCTGTTCATGTAGTCCTTGTGTCATCAGAAATTAACCGTAGAGACAGATGATTTGTGTGTGTGTGTGTCTGTGTGTGTGTGTGTGTGCACACAGCCAGCCAAGAAGAGCTCCCAGGCTTCCTGGCCATCATACCTGCAGCAGGCCTGCGAACTTGACCACTCCCCAGCCAAGCCTGGACACATCAGGTTCCACTAAGCTCATCTGGTAAATATCGACAGCCAGGAATCGCTGGACCATCCCGCCATCCTTGGTGATCACGGTGCACGCGATCAGGTCACTGTTGTCTGCGAACAGGGAGAGGGAGAACAAAATGAGGGGCAGTCCAGCGGCCCAGTCTGACGGAGACGGGCGCTCAGAATGACTCGCTGGGCGGCAGCGTTTGGCGGGCAGAGTCCAGATCTGGAGGCACACACACACCTGAGACTGAGGCCCTCCCCTGAGTCTCGCGGGGCGACCTGGGATGATGCCCACCCCTCTCAAAGTGATGGCTGAGTAAGGTACGTAAGGCATTATTAGTACAATGTTTAGCATGCAGCAGGCGCTCAAACTGTAGCTAAGAAAACTCAACTGAGAATCCTGGTAACGGTTCAGTGCTTCCTTGCAGACAGATGATGGGTGGCAAGCTGTGACGGTGTTTGCCTGAATTAAGGGAAGTCGCAGGAAAACAAGAGTGCCCTGCTTGGTTCTAGAACCGTCATACTTCCAATCTGGTGTCTGGCAACTGAGAGCTGACCTTTGTACTAGATGCTGTGTGATTCTGGGCAAGGCACTTGGCCCCTCTGAACCACAGTTTTCCATCTGTATGATGGGAATAATCTCCCTTATTCTGAGATGCTTGGTGCTTCATGTGTGTGTGTGTGTGTGTGTGTGTGTGTGTGTATATATATA